TAACCACCATGGGCTTTGGTGGCGGTGTCCTAGATCTTGAGGATCCGGACGGAGCTGCCCCAGAATCTGTTGGCTCATCGTCCAGGTCGTCATCGAGCGATTGATCTGCCCAATTACGATTAGGGGTACGATGAGTTGGGTCCACCAGTGGTGTCACGGTTACCGATGTTCTTGATGGAGACTGGGCCGGAGGTTCACCAGAGTCGTATCCGGTTACTATACCCTTCGGGCGACCAAAGGGACGGTACCCCGTGTGTGCTCCGCAAACGACGGCTCCGCGCTAGGCGCGGTTTCCTCAGGAGCGCCAGGACCCGGCCTCAACACAACTCGTGACGTTGATGCGAATACGACACGAGTGCGTTTCGGCGGAGGAGGGTTCGCCGGTGCACGCGGCTTTGGAGCCGGAGCTTCTGGGGCCTCCTCGGCCTCAATGGCATGTGTTGGTGCTCGCCGCCAAGGGGCGGTTGCCCGGGGTTTAGCCGCTGGACGGGGTGGACTTTCATCATCGTCCACGTCCATGGCGTGTACCTCAGTGTTCGGATGCACCAACAATTCAGGCTGTGGCACTGTTAGACCACCTGGCTCTCTCGTGGGACGAGTTCGCCACACATGATCGGGTAGGTCGTATACAGTGTCACGAGCCGTTTCTATTGGGATAGGCTGCGCGGGTGGTTCACGCGCAGCATGCTGAAGCCTAACAAATCCGCGCTGACACGGTTGCTGTGCCCCTTTAGGCTGATTAGGCTCCGGTTGAGGAGCGTCGGCTTTGGGGGGCTGTGCAGGTACTGGCAGGCTTCGAGCGCTTGCTTTTGGCGGGGGCGGCCTACGAAGTTTAACATGTGGTGGTAAATCTTGAGGCCTATGAGGAGTATTCAGGTATTCGGGGTCTAAAGGTGGTGGATCAGGGGGAGTTGCAGTTGCGAGTGCACGCCTAAACCGACCGGACCTTACGGCTCGGGTTATGGTGTTGGCTGCACGAGTGCGAACCGTCTCCAAATCCTCGCCTTCAACCTCGACCACCGGATCTGGTTCGAAAGCTTCCTCCTCCTCCCGCGCAAGCGCGGTTCCGCCCTGGTCGTCCTGTTGGACTGTGCCCTCCTCCTCCGCTCCTTCTGGATATCCAAGATCGGCCTCGGTTTCAGGATTAGGCACTCCCTCCTCAGCTGGTCCGACACCATCCATAGGATCATCTGCCTGCTCAGAGGTATCGGCAAGATGGACCGTGCGTGTTGGCTGTTCCGTGTCCGCGAGTGACTCAGCGGTTTCACGATTAGGCCTCGGACACGGCCTGGTTGGACGAGGAGGTCGAACCGACTCTGAAGTCCGGGTTTGGGACCTAGATCTCGGATTACCTTGTGGAGTTTGGGATCGGGATTGCACAGGATGATCAACAGGCCTCAGCTGCGGCCTCCAGCCTCCTGACGAACTGGCAGCGCTTGCGCCCACTACGGGCTGGAATGCGCGCGCCGGAACGGTAACTGGAAAGGCTTGCTGAGCGGGCGGTGCCGTCTGCGATGAAGTCGCCGCTGAGGAACGGACCTGGTGGAGTGGAATACATTTATAGGTTTTCTGATAGTACCCGGGCGGGAATCGATAGGTGGGTTGCTTAACACCATTCGATATCTCAGGCATATTACGGGTGCACCAGGACCAGAATTCTGGAATGATCGCTGCCCAAGCCTTGAGAGCCCCGTCGGAGATGTCACCTTCTTCGGGGGACTCAGCCCATGCGTCGGCATGAAAAACAATTTGTACCATTCAGAATAATCTTTCCGCGCTAACAGCGGTTTCACGAACGGCAAATGGTAAGTTTTGCCGACTCGACGGTAGGTATGTGATGCCAAGTGACTTGCAATGAGGTCACACGTTAGGGCATACTTCTTGTCCGATTGTTCAAATTGGTGCTTCTGGCCTCCTCTCGCTCCGCGCGTACGCTTGGGTTGAGGATCAACGGCTGCTGAAGCAGTTTGTGATGCCTCCGCGCTAGGCGCGGTTTCGTCGTCAGCCACGTCCGCCTCCTGCTGCTCTTCTTTGGCAGTGGGTCCCGCCTGATCGTCAAGGTCGTCGTCAGGCTCTTCACCACCAAAATCAACCTCCGCTTCGTCAAAGACCGGGTCAGTGGCCAGTGACTCAAACTGCGTTGGATGATTGTGAGTATGCAGTGGGGGTATAGGCCCACGGGAGAGGTTGAGGGATCGGCATACACGTCCTCCTCTACTTACTCCTTAGTGGTGGGCTCTATCTTAGGTGGGCCTAACAACGAGAAGGCATCGAAGGGCGGTTCCTCGGCGTTATGGGGGCCTAACGAATCGTCCTGAGCTGACGAGACCTCTCCGCGCGAAGCAGCGGTTCCGGTCTGGAGCTCTGCTTCGATAAGAGGGGTTTCGTCGTTAAGAGCACCAAGGGTGCTGGTTTCAGGCGGCAACTCGATGGTGGTCGGCTCTGCGACAGGCTCTTCTTGCTGAAGATCGTCGACCTCTTCCGCCCCTGCGGTTTCTGAACCCTGAGGCGTGAATGTAGGCTGGGAGGACGAAATGCCTGAGGCGACACGGGGAGTAAGGGGTGGCTCTTGCACAGATGCCTCCCCGAACTCTTGGTCCGTGGTCTCCGCGCTAAGCGCGGTTCCGACCACTCCCTCACAAAAAAGCAAGTGCTTCTTGATCCTGAGGGTCCCCAGCAGGCGCCGTGGCTGGTGCTGCAGCCGATGATGACGCAGCAGCGCCGGTTGCTTGGGGCTGGGGATTGACTCGACCCATTGGTGGTCTATGAAGGTACGAAAAGCGTGCCGCAATGGACCACTCGGCGGGGTCGAGTGTTGTTGCCTGTAGCTCACGGCTACGGCTGATAACCAATTGAGTGTACAATCCGGGTGGGACGTAGGGGAACGCCCAGCTTATCCTATCCACTGGGAGGTGGTAAAAGAAATAAGCTAAGTCCCTAGATGCACGGTCTATATTATATAACCCTGGGCGAGTCCGAAGGACGAGAACCCGTGGTTGCAAGGTGCCGAACGAACGAGAGCGGGCGAGCAATCGAACGAACGAAAGTGCGAAAGGCGCGGAAGCACGAATGCGACGAAAGTGTCCCCGACCACAGGTCAGGAGAGCACGGCGCCCTGCAAGGAAACAGCGCGGGTGCACTTGTTTCCTTGAGCCAAGAGCGACGGTCGAAGCATGTGTTTCACATGCCTTAGTGAACCGTAGCTAAATAGATGGACATGTACAAGTAGTGAATAGCTGTTACATAGTAGGGGTTCACAGAAAATGACTTTCTTAAGGCTTATCTTCTTTCTAGCTGTTGTTTCTCTAGATTTGCTGGCGCCCTCCCCAATTTTGCCTCATCCAAGGTTCTCAGCTTACATGTTTTTCTTTAAAGTAGGTATGTCCTTATTAAGGTTTATCGTCTTTCTAGCTGGTGCCCTCCACATTTTTTGCTTATCCCAGGTTCTCAGCTTACATTTTCTCTGTAAAGTAGGAATGTCCTTCTGAAGGCTTATCTTCTTTCTAGCTGTAGCTGCTGTTTCTCTAGGTTTGCTGGTGCTCTCCCCAATTTTGGCTTCCCCCAGGTTCCCGACTTTTCAGGTATGTCCTTCTTAAGGCTTATTTCCTTTCAATTCTAGCGGTTGTTTCTCTAGATTGCTGGTGACCTCCCCAATTTTGCCTCATCCAAGGTTCTCAGCTTACATGTTCTCTTTAAAGTTGGTATGTCCTTCTTAAGACTTATCTTCTTTCTAGCTGTAGCTGGTGTTTCTCTAGACTTGCTGGTGCTCTCCCTAATGTTGGTTTCTCCCAGGTTACCAGCTTACATGTTCTCTTAAGTATGTCCTTCTTAAGGTTTATCTTCTTTCTAGATGTTGTTTCCCTAGATTTGCCGGTGCCCTCAATCATTGCTGTCGAGCGCGCAGCTTGTCACAGGGTCACACGCTTGGCTGAAATGCTATGGTGGCCATGCATTTTCAAGCCTGCTTTCTGCATGTTACATTTATGTCTTGTCAAAAGCAAGATGCATTTGGGGTTTTGCTGCTTTGGCCTTCTGAAAGAAGACGTCCAACCTCCCTAAGTTACATTTTTCTATCTATAAAAACAGGGGGGGACCTGGACGTCAATAAATGTAAGTTACATTTTGTATCATTTTGTCACGACCCCCCCCCCTCATGTTTCTTTTTGCGTCTCTTCTGTCGGTGTTTCCCCCGATTTCCCCAGGGATCTTCCAGAGATCTCCAGTCCGCGCATGTGTTTTTTGGGGGGACGGGGTCAAAATGTGACTTTGAAGCTTTCACAGACACAAAATGAAGCAACCTTCTATGCCTTTGCGTGATTTTGCTGGCTGCGTGAGCAAGGTCCAACCCCCCCCCACCCCCCAAAAAAGGCCTGAAACTGGACCGGGGGGGGTGGTAAGTTACATTACCCCCCTGTTTTGAGTGCCTAAGGGGGTGGTGATGTTCAATCATCAATCTGCAATGCAACAAAAAGCAACAAGTGATCAGACTGCTGCGATACCTCACTGGCTGTGGAATCAGCCCTCCACCCCACCGGTTCACCCCGAAGATGGAGCAAGAGGGTGTCTCGGCACCCTGTAAGTGTCGGAGCCGCAAGTGCTATCATCACGTCACGTTATCTCACTTTCAAACCT